GCGGCGACGACGACGACGACGGAGACGAAGAGGACGACGACGATGACGACGACGCCAGCGGCGGCGGCAGGCGGCGGCGACCACGGCGACTGCGGCGACGGCGACGACGACGCCGACGACGACGACGCCGGCGGCGGCGGCTGGCGGCGGCGACTACGGCGACTACGGCGACGGCGACGGCCTCTTGACGACCGCCCAAGGGCTCTGAGGATCTCTAGAGGGTCTCCCTAAAGCAGGCGTGCGATGGTGGGATATGGAGGTCCCCAAAGGTGGGGGATGATGAACGGGAGAGAAAAGAAAATTTCAACTGTTCGGGCCCTGAAATCCCCCTTTGGGACTCTAGAGGGCTCCAGTAGGAACCCGTAGGAGAACCTTTTCTGCAGCCCTGGCTGCCTCCCTGTTTATTGGCCCCCCATTACGCGGCGCCCGACCGGAGGTCCCTGGATACCTCTCCAAAACCTAGAAAATACAAAGCGCGCCTGGAAACGTCGAGCCTCGACGAGCATGAGTGCGACGACGACGAGGACAAGGACGGCAACGGCGACAATCATGAGGACGAGGACAGCAACAATGACAACGAGGCTGAGTGCAGCAACGACAACGACGAGGACACGAACAGCGCGGACGACAAGAACAACAACAACAACAACAACAACAACAACAACAACAACAACAACAACAACAACAACAACAACAACAACAACAATAACAACAACAACATCAAAACAAGCACAACAACAACAACAACACCACCACCACCAACAACAACAACAATAACTTTAAGACCGTTCGCCCTTATATGCTCGAGTGTCCAATAACGCGTATTTCCCGAACCCTCGATACACGCCCTCTTCGTCTTCGATCGAACCCCTTTCGGGGGGTATACCTTTCTTCCCTGCAGGCCGGGCCCCGGCAAGCGGCGGGGCGGCCGCGGACCGTCGGCCTGGCCAGCGGCAGCGCTGATCGGCGGGGCGGCCGCGGACCGTCGACCCGACCCCAAGAGGGACGGACAGGGGACCGACCACGACGACGACGACGACGACGACGACGACGTCGACGACGACGACGACGACGGCGACGACGACGACGAGCGAAAGCGAGAGCGAGAGAGAACGACAGCAGGGCCACGAAGGACACGAAGTAGGCCACGAAGGGCGACAGCGGGGACACGAAGGGAATGCGCATGGGGCCACGAAGAGCGCGAACGAGCGGGGGCCACAAAGTGCAGATCATGCGGGGCCACAGAAGGCAACGATGGGGCCAATGAGGGTAGCACCTGGGCCACGTAGGACAGTGAGGGGGACACGAATGGCGACAGCGGGGCCACAAAAAGCATGCAGATGGGGCCACAACGGGCGCGACTCCTGGGTGCCTGGGTGTCGGGAGAGCGGCGCTTGGGCAAATTGCAGGAAATTCCAACGACAGGCAATTTTTCAATAAACTGCAAGCAAGTCTCCAGCGAGAGCGCGGCTCCAGAGCGCCGGAAGAGCGATTCTGAATAAATTGCAAGGAAGTCCCATGCGAGAGCGCGACTCCTGAATAAAATGCGTGGAAGTCTCGGGCGGGAGCGGGGGTCCTGGCTAAATTGTGAGGAAATCTCAGGCGGGAGCCGCCGTTGTTTTAACCCGGGGGCCAAGGGGCCAGTTTGAGCGGGAAGACTTTTCCTGTCAAAAAACAGGGTGCGAGCGTCGAAGGGCGCACTTTGATTGAGAAAAAATAGTATGCACCGGTGGGGGGATCAACAATAATTATTTTTCAAACATGAGAATTCATAGTTTCAAAACTGTTCGCCCTTATTTGCTCGAGTGTCCAATGACGCGTATTTCCCAAACCCTCGATGCACGCCCTCTTCGTCTTCGATCGAACCCCTTTCGGGGGGTATACCTTTCTTCCCTGCAGGCCGGGCCCCGGCAGGCGGCGGGCGGCCGCGGACCGTCGGCCTGGCCAGCGGCAGCGCTGATCGGCGGGGCGGCCGCGGACCGTCGACCCGACCCCAAGAGGGACGGACAGGGGACCGACCACGACGACGACGACGACGACGACGACGGCGACGACGATGACAACGGCGACGACGAGCGAAAGCGAGAGCGAGAGAGAACGACAGCAAGGCCACGAAGGACACGAAGTAGGCCACGAAGGGCGACAGCGGGGACACGAGGGGAATGCGCATGGGGCCACGAAGAGCGCGAACGAGCGGGGGCCACGAAGGGCATACGTATACTGGGCCGCGGAGGGCAAGGACGGGGCCACTGAGGGCAGCAACGGGGCCACGAAGGGCAGCGAGGGGGCCACGAAGGGCATACATATATGGGGCCACGAAAGGCAGCGAGAGCGAGGGGGCGGCGAAGGGTTGCAACGGGGCCACGAAGGGCTGCGACGGGGCCACGAGGGGCAGCGAGGGGGCCACGAAGGGCTACATATATGGGGCCACGAGACAAAGCGAGGGGGCCACGAAGGGCTGCAACGGGGCCACGAAGGGCTGCAACGGGGCCGCGAAGGGCAGCGAGGGGGCCACGAAGGGCTGCAACGGGGCCACGAAACAAAGCGAGAGGGCCACGAAGGACTGCAACGGGGCCACGAAGGGCAGCGAGATCCCGATTCTTACGTAATCTGTGAGGGAGTCCTAAACGTGAGCGCGACTCCCGGGTGCCTGGGTGTCGGCAGCGCGGCGCTTGAGTAAATTGCAAGAATGTCCAACGCAAGGACGCTATTCTTAAGTAAATTGCAAGCAAGTCTCCAGCGAGAGCGCGACTCGAGAGCGCCAGGAGAACGATTCCTGAATAAATTGTAAGGCCGTCCCAAGCGAGAGCGCGACTCCTGAATTAAATGGAAGGAAGGCTCGGGCGGGAGCCGGGTTCCTGGCTACATTGTGAGAAAGTCTCAGGCGGGAGCCGTTGTCGTTGTAACCCGGGGGCCAACGACACAGTTTGATGCTCAAGACTTTCCCTGATACTGATAAAAAACAAGGTGCGAGCCCTGGGAAGGGCAACGACAACAACAACGACAACAACAATAAACAACAACAATAAACAACAACAATAAACAACAACAACAACAACAACAACAACAACAACAACAACAACAACAACAACAACCACAACAATTACTAGCACGTGGGGACACACCGTTCTCACCAGTGCCAGGGTTTTCATAGGAGGCGGGCAATACCCCCACTTTGTGGGGGGGCCGGTTCAAGCTCTACCAAATTTCCAAACGACTCTTCGCCACCACCCACACCCAGCTTCCCGCCCTATGACGTTCGGACACTTCACTTCGTGGCATGCGGACGACCGTGGCTACTATTCAGGGCCCCGCGGCCGACGACGACGGCGTGCGCGCGCGAAGAAAAAACGAATGTGTCCCGCATGGTATTATTTGACAGGGATGATGGCCCTGGCAGGTGCGCAACCGTTGTCGCAGAAGTTCGAAAAAGTTGCTCGCAAAAGCCCGTTTGACAGAAATGTTTAAAAAGTGTTGGGTTTCCTACGAATCCGCAAGAGCGCGCGGGATGAGATTTTGACAATTTTTGTTGAAAAACCATTGGTTTTTTGATGTTTTTATGTTAAAATCGCTGCGAACACTAAGGTTTTGGAAGGATTTCGTCTTGCGCGCGCGAATGTCCACTTTACCTTATTTTTTGCAAGGGATTCTTGAAATTTGATTATATTAGAACAAGAAATGTCATTTTCTATTGTTTTTTGCAAGGGAAAGCGGATTACAACAAAACAACCGGATCCTGTACACACCCTCTTTTCTGAGGCTTCCTCACGAAAATGATGAAAATGTAGCTGCGGCCTAGGCGGCGCAGGGGGGGCGCGCACCAGGGGGCCCAACAATAATTATTCTTTAGAATAAATAATGTTCAACAACAACAACCATTTTAAGGCTGTGCGCTCTTACTTGCCCGCGAGTCATTCAACACGTATACCCTACACCCTCGATGCCCGCCCTCTTCGTCTTCGATCACACCCCTTTCGGGGGGATTATTTCTCTTTGCTGGGGCCGGCGGGCTTAGACGTACGGGCAAACCGGAACGGGCGGACAATCCTTCGGGGGCGTACATCTCTCTGCCCGCCATTGGAATTGGCGCGGGCCCTGCAAGAGGAGGAGGGGAAGAACGAGGGAGAGTGGGAGGAAGGGGAGGGGGAAGGACGAAGGAAGAGGGAAGATACCACGTTGTGAAGGCGTCCTTGGCGCGTGCGCGGTTCCTGAGCGCCGAAACGCAATTCCAGAATAACTTGTGAGGACGTCGCACGCGACAGCGCAGTCCTGAGTACATTGTGAGGAAATCTCGGGCGGGAGCGGGGGCCCTGACTAAGTTGCGAGGAAGTCTCAAGCGGGAGCGCCGTTCCTGAGCAAATTGCAAGGAAGTCTCAGGCGGGAGCGGGGGTCCTCACTAAATTGCGAGGAAGTCTCAGGCGGGAGCGCCGTTCCTGAGTCAATTGCGCGGAAATGTCAGGCAGGAGCGGGGGTCCTGAGTAAAATTCGAAGAAGTCTCAGGCGGGAGCGCCGTTCCCACGTAAATTGCACGGAAGTCTCAGGCGGGAGCGGGGGTCTTGATTACATTGCGAGGAAGTCTCAGACGGGAGCGCCTTTCCTGAGTAAATTGCGCGGAAGTCTCAGGCGGGAGCGGGGGTCCTGAGTAAAAATCGAGGAAGTCTCAGGCGGGAGCCGTTGTTGTTGTAGCCCGGGGGGCAGGGGCACAGTTTGAGCAGGAAGACTTTCCTTGAGAAAAAAAAAGGTGCGAGCCCCGGGGGTGGCATTTTAATCGAAAAAATCAATGTGCACCGGTGGGGGGGGGGATCAACAATAATTATTCTTCAGGAGTGAGAGTTCACCCACAACAACAATGACAACCACAACAACAACACCAACAACAACGACAACAACACCAACAACACCAACAACACCAACAACACCAACACCACCACCAACAACACCAACACCACCACCACTAGCAACAACAACAACAACAACAGCGACGACGACGACGACGACGCCTGCGGCGCGTCGACCACGGCGAGGGCGGTGCCTGGCACCTGCCCCGCGCAGGAGGAACTAGAGGAGGAAGGACGACGACGAGAGGGAAGGACGAGGAGGGGAAGGGGGGAGGTGGAAGGGGAGGAGAAATGGGTACGGGTGGGGGGAGGTGGAAGGGAAGGTGGAAGGGGAGGAGGAGGATGAGGAGAAAGAGGAAGAGAAGGAAGAAGAGGAGGAGGAGGAGGAGGCGGAGCATGAGCAGGAGCAAGAGAAGGAGGAGGAGGAGGAGAGGAGTATTGGCGGGCATGTCGGCGGTCCAGCCCTCCCTCACCATCCCTCGGGAGTGTGGGGGGAAGCTCGGAGCCAACGGAGGCGGCGCGGCTAAGCGTGCGAGGGGGAAGGGGTGGCTGGCCTGAGAGGAGGGAGAGGGACGGACGGGGGAGGCAGGATTACCAATCTCGCTATGGGCTTGAAGGGAATCCAAGCCCGCCTTTAGGGATACATCGGTCATCGGCAAAATACTTGAGACTGATGGGCAACTGCCAGGAGAGTCCTTTGAATACAACAGGAGACAACAGTTGGACGACAAAGTCGGAGGAGGGAGTATGGGGGGGGGAGGATGGGAAGGAGGAGGAAGGAGGAGGAGGGAAGGGAAGGAGGGACAGGAGGAATGGGTGTGGGGGACAGGGGGGAATAGACGCTGCGCTCGTCCGATCAGAGCCCGTTCCTCGTAGAGGGAGGAGGGAAGGCACATGAACCAGAACGACGAGGGGGAGGGCAAGGGCGAGGCCGAGAGCAGGAATATGGGGAGGATGAGAGAGACTGGAAAAGGAGGACGGGGACGAGGAGTAGTACGACGAGGAACGCGGGGGGCAGTAGGAGGGAGAGCGATGGAAGGAGGCGGGATAGGGGAGGGAGAAGGAAGAGGAGGAGAAGGGAGGGATAATGAGCGGGAAAAAAGGGGGAGGCGGGGAAAGAGAAAGAAGAGGAAGCGGGGGAAGACGAGGAAACGGGTAAGTGGAGGGAATATGGGACAGGGGGGGGGGGGCTGAGGAAGAGGGGCGGGGAATGCGGGGGACGGAGGCGCAGCGGGGGAGGGGGAACGGGAGGGAGAGGAGTGAAACAAACTGGGATGGGGAAGGGAATAACGAAGGTGGCAGGGGGTGAGGGGCGGGTGGAGAATACTGGGAGAGATGGACGGGACCGGAAGAGGGATGAAGGCGGAGAGAAAGGACGGAGGATGGGCAAGGGAGGGAGGAGGCGGAAGAGGAAGGCGGAAGAGGAAAGAGGTGAGGTAGCAGGCGGGAGAGGAAGGCGGAAGCCGATAGAGAGAGGGGGGAGGGCCCAGGGGATGCCAACGGATGGCGGAAGACGGACTTGATGAAGAAAAGAAGGAGGGTAGCGGTGCAAAAGGGAGGAGCAGTTCGGAGAGCGGAGAGGGGAGGGAGAGGAGGAGGAGAAGGAGGGGGGGGGGAAGGGGGGAGGGGGGAGGAGGGAGGGGAGGGGAAGAAGGTGGTCGAGGAGGAGGAGGTGGAGCCAGATGACAGGACACATCCGGGACAAAACAAGCTCCAAGACCTACGTTGCATGTGAGAAGCCCCCACGCCCGGTCCGGCCGAGAAAGAAAGAAGGACGTGCCAACACTCCTGGGCAGGTCCTGGGGCCTCGCGTCCCCGCCCCCAGAGATGCAGAGATAGGGTCCGGGAAGGTTCGTGCGTGTGTGCGTGTGTGTGTGTGTGTGTGTGTGTGTGTGTGTGTGTGTGTGCGTGAGTGTGTGTGTGTGCGTGTGTGTGTGTGTGTGTGCGTGCGTGCGTGCGTGCGTGCGTGCGTGCGTGCGTGCGTGCGTGCGTGCGTGCGTGCGTGCGTGCGTGCGTGCGCGAGTGAGATGCGTGCGCGCGTGCGTGCGTGCGTTCGTTTGCAGTTGTAATGTGCGTGCGTAGTAGCGTGCGTGCGTGCTCGTGCGTGCGCGGTGCGTGTGTGTGTGCTCTGTGCGCGCGTCACCTGTGCGTGTGAGTGTGCGTTGTGAGTGTGCGAAAGTGAGTGTGCGTGTGCGACGTGCGTGTGCGCGTGCGACGTTGCGTGTGCGTCGTGCGTGGTGCGTGTGCGTTGTGGTGTGGGTGTGCGTTGGCGGTGTGACGTGTTACTGATGTGCGTGTGAGTGTCGCGTGTCGACGTAGTGAGTCAGAGCGTAGTTGCGTGTGCGTGTGCGTGTGCGTGTGGCGTGTGGTTTGCGTGTGAGTGTGACGTGTGACGTGTGCGTGTGATGTGTGCGTGTCGCGATTGTGCGTGTGCGTGATGAGTGTGAGTGTTGAGGTGAGTTTGTGCGTGTGAGTGTGCAGTAGTGCGTAGTGCGTGTGCGTGTGCGTGTGAGTGGCGTGGCGTGTGCGTGTGACGTGTGCGTGTGCGTGTGCGTGGTGTGTGTGTGGCTGTGTGTTGTGTGTGTGTGTGTGTTGTGGTGTGTGTGTGTGGTGGGGGTGTGTGTGTGTGTGTGTGTGTGTAGGGGGGGGGGCGGGGGCGGGGGGGCTGCTCAGCAGCAGCTTTGAAGGGGACGGCGTGGGTTTGGAAGCGAAGAGGGGGCCGAGTCTCGGGCGCGGCCGAGGCAGGTGCGGGGGGAGGGAAAACGAGCATCGCGAGCGCGCAGTGAAGTAATTCCACCCCAAACGATCATGTTGAGGAGGTGAAATAGGTGCGCTGCGCGCGTTCCTAGCCAGCACTCCTTATATCTCTCTCTCTCAATGTTGTTGCGCATCTCTCTCTCTCTCTCTGTAGCGTTCTCTCTCTCTCTCTCTCTGTATGTCTCCCTTCCTGGCGGCTAGCCCCATAGAGACAGAACGAACGAACCCAAATCATTGGCAGCCAGAGTCTCTGCCCACGAAAAAATTGGATCGAGGCATGCAAACAGTTCACCGCCGATTGGGACAGAACGAAAAGGAGGATAAGGGTGGGAGGCGGCACTTGACACCCAAAGCCCTGGGACCCCCTCCAGGGGATGGGGATAGGGACCCGCTCAAATGCCCCGTGGTCGAGGAGGAGGAAAAAGAGGAGGAGGAGGACGAGGAGGAGAGGAGAAGTGAAGGAACGAGGAGGGTAAAGGAGGAGGGGGGGGATAGACGGGGGGAAGAAAAGAGAGAAGAAGAGAGAAGGAGGGAGGAGAAGGAGAAGAATAAGAAGAAGGAGGTTGCCAGGCATTAAGTGGGGAGAGGGAGAGGAATCTGAGGGGGAGAAGAAGCAGTGAGGATGAGTGAAGAACGAAAGAGAAGGCAGAGATCAGGGGGAGAGGGAGAGGGAGAGGAAGGGGAGGAGGCAAGAGGAATGGCAGGAGGAAGGGCAGGGACCAGGGGGAGGAGAGAGGGGGAGCTGCAGGGCAGGTGGAGCGAGGCTTGCTCTGCAACGACAAGGGCCCGACTGCTCGGGACAAACGAGGAGGACGACCGCCTATGTAATACTTCGCGGCGCCGGCGGCACCATAAATGGCGACTTCGCCTCGCCCAGCGAAGAGGGCGGCCTGGTCATGCCGACAAGCACTTCCTGACCACATTGAAATATGTCTGATGGGCGCCGTGCGCCAACACCGACACCAAGGTGGTTCAGTCTGCGGCGGTCCACTGGATCGGCGCGGGTGGCACGCGAGGTGCTGCGGGGTGCGTCAGCCTCGCACAACCTGGCACAACGGCATGCGGGATTGGCGTGCGAAGCGCCACACCAGCCTCACGCACTTCCCTGCGGCCACACAGCTCGTCAAAGCGTGGGACCGCATCAACAGGCGCACTGGGGTGCTGAATCCAGCCCAGCTGGACACCGCAATCCGCGACACCACCACGGGCCGCGACGTCTATGCTGCTTGGAGCATCACCTGCGAATGATCTTCCTACGCCCCTTGCAAGCAGGCTCGTTCCAATAACGATGGCGTCGGCGCGGCGGCCACGGTCTGGGAAAGACGGGACCGACACCCCCAAAGCGATGGCAACCTTGCCCCAGTCGCCTTCGGAACTTTGGGCGACATCGCCCCAACGGAGGGTGACATCGCCCCAAAAAGAGGGCGACCTCGAAACGTTGGGCCGCCCCTCGGACGAAACCGTGAGTTCGCCTGGGCAAACGATCACACGAGGCGGCCCATGCGAGGCACTGGGAGGGCTGTGGCGGCAGCTCTCCCAGCAGCTCCAGCGCGAAAGCGCAGAGGAGATGGTGCATCGGAGGTCGGCGCGGATTTATGGGATCGGCGTTAGACCCGAGCGCGCCAGGGGTGGCGCCAAAGGCGCCGCCAGGGGGTCCAGCGCGGACCCGAGAAATCCGCGCGCACCTCCGAGTTGTTAGTTTTGTGTCATTGCTCGTTCCCCTAACTATAACTAGGAAGCGAGGCCCGTCTGCCACGCAACCGCGACCATCACCACCGCAGCTGCCGACACCACCACCACTGCAGCTGCCGACAACGATCTGGGCCCGCCGCGCCTCGCGGCTCTTCTCCGTCGGCGCGCACGACCGTGACCACGAGCACCGAGACTCTCGTCGAGACTACGGCCGCGTCCCCTACGACGACCACGACGAACACGGCGCCCACGACGACGCGACTGCCTACGAAGTGACTGCCGACCCCTGTCTCCCCACCCCTTCCTCCTCCCCTGCCCGAAGCCCCACGCCTTCTCCCTCTCTCCCTTCTCCTTCGCTCCCCGTCCTCCTCCTCCTCCTCCTCCTCCTCCTCCTCCTCCTCCTCCTCCTCCTCCTCCTCCTCCTCATCCTCAGGTAGGGGGCCCTCGCTGAGGAAAGGGAGCTGTCTGTGGTAGAGTCATTCGTTTTGCCGTCTACAGCCATGTCTCAGGAAGGAGTTTGGAGCAGCAGGCGCGAGACACCACCTGCCCTCCACAAGAAAAATCAGTCCGATGCGTCCGAGCCTGCTTGATTAGCTTGCGTAGCGCAATCCGTTCAGCGGAATCCCTCAATCTTCGCGTGAGCCAAAGGAAACCAGACAACTGGCCCCCCAGCTCTTGCGACACACGGGTCTCTGAGCACTCGGATCGCGACCACTTTCCTGGGACCGGCCCTTCATCCCGAGTTGTTTGTTTTGACGGCCCCGAGGCCCGGCGAGGGCCCCGAGAGGCCGAAAGCTTGAAAAAACCGCGGCCTCGACTCTTTGAGACGCCGGATTGTGTGGGAAGGAGGGGCGGGAGGAAGAGGAGGAGGAGGAGGGGGAGGAGGAGGAGGAGGAGAAGAAAAAAAGAAAAAAAACTGACGAGAAGGAGGAGTGATGCTGGTTATGATGATGGTGATGATGATGGTGATCATGATGCTGATGATGGTGGTGATCATGATGCTGATGATGAGAATGATGATGATGATGAGGATGATGATGATGATGGTGATCATGATGAGGATGATGAGGAGGAGGAGGAGGAGGAAAGGAGGCGGAGGATAGAATGAGCAGGAGGACGAGGAGGAGGAGGAGGAAGAGGAGGAGGAGGATAGGGGGCGGAGGATAGGATGAGCAGGAGGGGGAGGATGAGGAGGAGACGGACTAGGATGGGGTGTGGTGAGTAGAAGGATGAAGATGAGGAGGGAGAGAAGAGGACGGGGAGGAGAATAGGGGGCGGAAGCAAGGATGATGATTATGATGTTGACGCCGATGATGAGGGGGATGCTGATAGTTATGACGAGGATGATGATGAGGATGCTGATGATGACGATGATGATGGTGGCTATGTGATTATGATGATGCTGATGATGCTGAAGACATCGGTGATCCTGACACTCGTAAGGCGGATGATACGTATGATGATGATGCTGATGACGAGGATGCTGATGATGCTGCTGGTGGTGGCGATGATGATGGTGATGTTGATGTTGACAATGATTCTGATGATGATGAGGATGCAGACGATGATGTTGATGATTATGATGATGATGCTGATGGGCGGGATGATGCTGGTTATGATGATGATGCTGCTGATGATGCTGATGCTGACGATGATGATGCTGCGGATGTGTTCCCCCGCGCACCTTCAGCGATGACAGCGTCGACTCGGCAAGCTCGAGTTGTTGCTTCAACTCGTCGCGCGTTCGGCGCGCCTTGTCCAGAATAACGCGATGCTTCCTGCGGACTTCCCTATTCCCGCGATTGGCAGCCATGTCAACGGAAACGGCCTCTGTGCTATCGTCTAGCGTGGCCAGACGTGACCGCAAGGCAACAATGTCGCGAAATAGTGAATTCTTGGCCTCAACAGGATTCGAGATCTCACGACCATCTGAAAGCTCACGACTATCAGGGAGCTCACGATCATCAGCGGGAGCATCCTCAGCAGAGCTAGACGCGGCAAGGCTTGGGAAAACGGGAGCCTAGACAACTTGCCACAGTGCGGACCTCCAGGGGTCTCGGACATCACATCATCGCCCTCGCCACCCTCTCCACGTTGGAGGAACACCAGCACCACAAGCACGTTCAAGGTCAACTCCACGAAGGTCATCTCCACGAAGGCCGCCTCCACGAAGGACGTCTCCTCGAAGGTCGTCTCCACGACGGTCGGCGCCACGAAGGTCGTCTCCATGCAGATCTTCTCCACAAGAGTCGTCTCCACGACGGTCGTCTCCAGGAAGGTCGTCTCCACGACAGTCGGCACCAGCACCTCCACGACGGTCGTCTTCACGAAGATCTTCTCCACGACAGTCGGCACCAGCACGAAGGTCGTCTCCACAAACGGCGGCTCCAGAACCGCCACGACAGTCGGCTCCAGCACCTCCACGAAGAACTTCCCCAAGATGGTCGGCACCAGCCCGAAGGTCGTCACCACGACGGTCGGCGCCAGCACCTCCACGACGGTCGTCTCTACGAAGATCGACTCCACGACGGTCGGCACCAGCACGAAGGTCGTCTCCCCGAAGGTCGGCTCCGGCACCTTCACGACGGCCAGCTCCAGCACCTCCAAGAAGATCTTCTCCACGACGGTCGGCACCCGCTTCTCCACAACGGCTTTCTCCATGAAGAGCGTCTCCATGAAGGTCGGCACCAGCACGAAGGTCGTCACCAAGATCGTCGACTCCAGCACCTCCACGACGGTCAGCCCCATCACTTCCTCGAAGATCTTCACCACGATGGTCGGCACCAGCACCTCCACAAAGATCCAGAACGTCGAGAGCAGCAGGTACCCGATCGGCATGATCGGTACCTCCAGGAAGGCCCGCCCTGGAACATCCATCAGGCGCAGCTTCTCGGCCAACATCACCAGGAAGGTCGGTCCCAGCGACGTCTGGATGATCAGCACCGCCCCGAGTATGGTGAGATTCCGCATCCCCGGTATGATCAGCACCAGCACCTCCACGAGGAATCAAGCCAGGAAACGGCCGCATCACGAAGCTGATATGCGACTCGTCGCGCGAGTTCCGGTGCCCATGATCAACGGCGACGACATGGCCAATGTCGTACAGCATGTGCTGCAGCAGTGCGATAGCCAGCCCATTGCGGACACGCCCATCAGCAAGGGGGAACAGGCACACCTGGACCACAATCTTGTCTACGTGTCTGTGCAACTTGATCGTCGCTAGGCGCCCGCTGAGAAGTTGGAGGACGGTCCACTCAATCCGCGCAGCCGTGACCAAGAGAAAGACAAAAGCGAGCGAACACAGCAGGGCACGCAAATGCGAGCAATTGGCCACACCTCGGGCGAACGCCTGAGCCCAAGTGGCTAATGATGATGATGATGATGATGATGATGATGATGATGATGATGATGATGATGATGATGATGATGATGATGATGACGATGAGGTTGATGACGATGATGATGCTGATGATGATGATGATGATCATGATGATGATGCTGATGCTGATGCTGATGCTGATGATGATGATGATGATGATGCTGATGATGATGATGATGATGCTGATGATGATGATGCTGATGATGATAATGATGATAGGATGGGCAGCAGGGGTAGGAGTAGGAGTAGGCGTAGTAGGAGTAGGAGAAGGAGGAGGAGGAGGTCGAGGAGGAGAAGGAGGAGGAGGAGCAGGAGCAGGAGGAGGATAGGGAGCGGAGGGTAGGATGAGCAGGAGGAGGAGGAGGAAGAGGATAGTGGGTGGAGGATAGGAGGAGGAGGAGGAGGAGGAGGAGGAGGAGGAGGAGGAGGAGGAGGAGGAGGAGGAGGAGGAGGAAAGGAGGAGGGACGGAGGCGGCTCCCAGAACCGAGCGCCTCGAACTCTGGCGGCGGGCGAGAGGCCCCTCGCCGCTCGCCGAGGAATGCGACGGTTTATCGCTCTCGCGGGCGCACTCTCAAGGCCGCTGCGGAGCCTCCCCCCCCTGGGGAAAACCAATCACTCTGCTGGGGGCCTGTGGAGCCGTGGCGACGGGGAGAAGGAGGAGGAGAGAGGCGGGGATCGAGAAGGGGGGGGGGGGGGGGGCGACAGGAGTCGGAGTCGGAGGAGGCGAGGGAGGGGGGGGGCGGGAGGACAGGAGTCGGAGAGGGAGGGGGGTCGGGGGGAGCGGCGGAGGAGCGGAGGGGCGAGGGGGAGGGAGGGAGGGAGGCGAAGAAGGGGCGGAGGGGGACGGGCAGAGGGGGGGGGGGGCAGAGGAGGAGAGGCGGGGGCGGAGACCGAGGGAAGAGGGAAGGGGGGGGGAAGGGGGAGGCGGGAGCCACCGTTGCGCTGAGCGTCTGCCCGATGCCCTCCGCGGAGGCGGCGGCAGGAGACCCCTGGGGCTCGCCGTCTGCGGCAGCGGCAGTGGCGGGGCCCGCCTGGCCAGCCATGCATCTCCTGCTCCTCCTCCTCCTCCTCCTCCTCCGCCTCCTCCTCCTCCTCCTCCTCCGCCTCTCCTCCTCCTCCTCCTCCTCTTCCCTCCTCCTCCTCCTCCTCCTCGTCCCAGTCCTCGTCCTCGTCCTCCTCTTCCTCCTTCTCCTCCTCCTCCTCCTCCTCCTCCTCTTCCTCCTCCTCCTTCTCGAGCGTAACCACGGGCATGGTCCTCGGCAACGCAGCCGAGGGGCGCGCCACATAATGGCGGACTAGCCTTCTTCAACCATTTTGTGGTTTTGGGTCATCGTTTTGAAGAAACGGTCCCCGCGTTCCCCTCCTTTTCTCCTCCTGTTCCCCCTCCTCCTCCCTCGTCCCTCCTCCCTGCGTTTCGCCGACCCAGTACAGCGTTTCGTAGCCCCATATGGGGGTTCCACCAATGGTCCCAGTGGGACCGCCCGCATGCGTCCGCCACCACCCAGCACAGCCCTTGCTCCTTGCGTTTCACCCACCCTGTACAGCGCTTCGTGGCCCCATAAAGGGGGGGCTCCACCGAAGGTCCCAGTGGCACCGCCCGCAGGCGTCCGCCACCACCCAGCACAGCGCTTGCTCCCTGCGTTTCATCCGCCCAGTACAGCGTTTCGTGGCCCCATAGGGGGCTCCACCGAAGGTCCCAGTGGAACCGCCCGCATGCGTCCGCCACCACCCAGCACAGCCCTTGCTCCCTGCGTTTCGCCCACCCTGAACAGCGCTTCGTGGCCCCATAGGGGGCCGCGGCCGAGGGAAGCGCGCCTCGCCCGCCGCCGCGGCCGCGGCGCTGGCCCCCGCGGCGCCGGCCTCGGCCGTGGGCGCCGTGGGGGCGGGGCGCTCCTCCTCGGGCGGCGCGCCCCAGGGAGGGGAGGCAGGCAGGAGGAGGAGGAGGAGGAGAAGGTGGAGGGAGGAGGCGGAGGACGAGGAGGAGGAGGAAGAGGAGGAGGAGGAGGAGGAGGAGGAGGAGGAGGAGGAGGAGGACAAGGAGATGGAGGCGAAGGAGGAGGAGGAGGAGGAGGGGTGAGAGAGGAGGAGGAGGAGGATGGATGAGGGAGGAGGAAGGAGGAGGGAGGAGGAAGGAGAAGGGAGACAAGATCATCCAAGAAGAGACGAGCCGGGCGGCCGAGAGCAAGCGACGAGACGACGGTAATTCAGTCCAGGTTTATCCGACGGATCAAAGAGAAGCGGCGCCCTGGAGGGAGGAGGAGGAGGAGGAGGAGGAGGAGGAGGAGGAGGAGGAGGAGGAGGAGGAGGAGGTGGAGGAGGAGGAGGAGGAGGAGGAGGGAGGAGGAGAAGGAGGAGGTGGAGGAGGAGGAGGGAGGAGGGAGGAGGGGAGGGGAGCAGGAGGAGGGAGGAGGGAGGAGGGAGGAGGGAGGAGGGAGGAGGGAGGAGGGAGGAGAGGAGGAGGGAGGAGGAGGAGGAGGAGGAGGAGGAGGAGGAGGAGGAGGAGGAGGAGGAGGAGGAGGGAGGGAGGAAGGGAGGGAGGAGGAGAAGGAGGAGGAGGAGGAGGAGAAGGAGGAGGAGGAGAAGCGGAGCCCTGGAGGGAGGAGGGAGGTGGAGGAGGGAGAAGGGAGGAGGGAGAGGGGAGGGTGGAAGAGGAGGGAGGAGGGAGGAGCACGAGCGGCCCGCAAAGCGGCCTGACCCTCAGCCGGGCAGCCCGTCACGACGGGCGCGGAGTGGACGTGCGAGAGGAGCTCGCATCACCACTGCATCAGCCAGCCGTGCTCGGGCACGTTAAGAGCGGCCTCACACACGCCTCGCGACTCCGCTGACGGCGTGCCGTGCGCCTCCCCCTCCGCCGCCTCCTGCGACTCCGCCTCGTTCCTCCTCCCCCACCGCCGCCTCCTCTTCCGGCTTTTCCGCGTCTGCTCGTCACCCGTTCTTGCCGCTGGGCCCCCGCTGGATAGTAAACAACAGTGCGCGGCGACGGTTCTGCAGAGGGCTCCGTGGCGCCCCCACGGAGCGGGGTTGGCCCCTCCGCCTGGCGCCCCGAGGAGCGGGGCCACACCCGGCGCCGCAGCCGTGGCCGCAGAGGGCGGCCCGAGGAGCGGGACCACAGCATCCGCACCTTCAGGCGACGCGAGGAGCGGGAGCGCACCCTCGACTGGAGACCCAAGAGGCCTCCACGAGGGCTTCCAGGAAGGCCCGAAAAGGTCAAAAGATTCCCCATGAGGTTTCCAAGGATTGTGGCATTTGCTTCTTTTCGGCCTTCCGACTGCCCGAGACGGCCCAAGTGCCCCCAGAGATCGCCCAAGAGGCCCAAGACGGCCCCAAGAAGCCCCCAAGACGGCTGCAGCCGACGTAGCCACAGCTGGCACCCCGATGAGCGGGGCCTGACCAGCCTGCGCAGCCTCGCCCTGCCACCCCCCGGTGGCCCGAGGAGCAGCACCACACCGGCCGTCTTCGTGGCCACAGGCGACCCGACGAGCGGGACCACAGGTGCCCGTGCGTGCCATCTGCCCTGGGGCCCAGACAGGTCTGCTCGTATGGTCCGCCGCCGTGCTCGCCACCGCTCGCGTCCTCACGATCTGGAGTGGCTCTCCCACGAACTCCAGCGCAGCTGGGTGCCTTCCCCCACGCGTGTGGTTGAGCCTCGTAGGGCCTCCCGCACTCCTTGCACCACACATTGCCAAAGATCACCGTGCTGGCCGCCATGAGCTGCTGACTCTCGTGCGCCGCCTCCACTGCGTGTGGGCATCCTCTGAATAGACCCGCTGCCTGCTCGCTCTCGGATGTTGACCTGTCGCCGCACGTGTCGCACCCATAACTCAGCTTCACCTCATCACCCAGCCACTGCGGTGTGTGCCTGAGCGGGGCCTCCGTGTTCTGGCACGTGTCGGCGTGAAGAATTGGGGGGTGATGTCCGGGAGGAGGAGGAGGAGGAGGAGGAGGAGGAGGAAGAGGAGGAGGAGGAGGGGGAGGAGGAACGCCATATGTATCCGCGCCAGCTGTTCTCGACGCGCCCAAGTGGACGACGCCGACACCACGGCAAGCCCGCGACAGATCCACGGCACGCCCCGTGCCCGAGGCGGCGTGCGCCCTGCTGGCCGAAGCGCCCTCCCAAGACGCAAGGCCGTGCGTCGAAGCACACGGCGCGCGCGGCGACGCGTGCGGGATCCACCCCGCGCACTCGCCACCCGGCGCCGCGCCCGGCCGCGCGGGCACCTCGAGGGGGGCCGGCCTCAGCTCGAGGTGCGCGCGCGGCCGCAGACCGACGGTGATGCGGCGAGCGGCACGCGGCCGCGAGGGCGAACGAGATGCTTTCGGGTCCTGCCAGGCCCAGGCCACGGCGCGCCGCGGCTCGCAGGACTGGCTACAGAAAGAGGCGCGGCATGAAGGCCGGCTGGCAGGCCCTCGCACACCTGGTGCACGCGGAGTTGCACAGCCATTGGCGCCACTACGGCGAACAGAAGTACGACAAGCACGGGCTACACGAGCTTGGGAACAACCAGCAGGATTGGGATCAGACGTACGTGCCGAAGTACGACACGTACGACAGCAACAGCTAGCACCACAATTACAACACCAAATACGCACCTAGACAGGGCAAGGTAGAGCAGCCCGAAGGGATGACCAAGTACATTGTCGTGGAAATACTGGTGGACCACGGCTACGCCGCTTACGACGGTAACAACTGCAATGGTTACAACCGCTACGACGAATGCAACGGCGAAGAAGACTACGCCGCATACGGCTTCTTCTTTGGACGCCCGAAATGAGTACAGAAATAATGGGTTCAATGCCCAACAACAAATGTTGTCCCAAACCAACAGCGGCCGCTGTTGGGCAGGCGGCCTTCTGACTCGCATGGACACAGGCCGCGGCAGCGTGGACAGCGAGTCCAGTTCAAAATGAACAAGATCTGCTGTTGGGCATTGTACCCATTCTTTCCATGCCCATTTCGTTCGTGCAAATCTTCGCCCTACCGCCCACGATGCCGGCAGATTTTCGAGAGCCACCAGCGGAACTTCGAGGGCCACCATGCTGCTACGAGGGCACTGGAACACGGATCACTACGACCTGCCAGCAAACGACTCTGACGCTAACTACGAGAACCCATAGAAGGAGGCGTGGAAGACCTTCGAAGAGGGGCAAAAAGCAGAACCACGAAAAACACCAGAGGACCTACGAAGACCACCAGCGCAGCGAGGACGGCCACCAGCAGAGCTACCAGGGCTACCAGCAGAACGTCGCGGGCCACCGCCAGGGCTTGGAGGGCCACCAGCAGATCTACGAAGACAACCAACAGGGCTACGGGGCTACGAAAACCACCAGCAGCACTGCATGGGCCACAGCTACATGGACCACCAGCAGCGCTGTGCCGGCCAGAAACAAAAACCTACGAAGGCTACCAGCCGACCCCCGGGGACCACAAGCAGAGCCACGAGGGCCACTAGCAGAGGCCCAAGGGCGACCAGCAGAGCCACTTGGACCAACCGCAGAGCTACGACGGCCACAAGCAAGATCTCACGGGCAACAGGCAGAACGAGGAGGACCACCAACGAATCTACGAGGGCAACCATCAGAGCTGCCAGAGCTACGAGCAAAGCTGCTGGGCCCACCACGAAGCGACGCGGGCCACCAGCAGAGCTTCGACGGCCTGTAGCTGAACGACGACGAGAGCCACCAGATGAGCTACCAGGGCCACGAGCAGCGCTGCGAGGGCCACAAGTCGACCTGCGAGAACCACCATCAGAGCTACCAGGGCAGCCTGCAACGAGGGCCACCAGCAGAGCCGCGAGGACCGCCAGCTGAGCTGCCAGGGCCACCAACGGAATTACGAGTGCCGCCAGGAGGACTAGGCGAACCACCAGCTGAGCTACCAGGGCCACCAGCTCGGCTACGAGGGCCACAGGCTGAGCTCGTAGGGCCACCGCCTGAGCCACGAGAGCAACCAGCGGAGCTACGAAGGCTGCGAGGGCCACCAGCTCAGCTATCACGGCCACCTGCTGAGCTAGGACACTCACTACCACTGCGGCCTGGGTAACCTGCAAAGAGACGAGGGCAACACGCTGAGCTCAGAGGAGGGCCACACGCTGAGCTGCGAGGCCCACAGGCAGAGCCATGAGAGCCCATGGCTGAGCTGAACTGCGAGGCCCACCTGCTGAGCTGCACCTGCCGATCTACGAGGGAAGGCCCGAACCTGCACTTCCAGGGCAACTCGGCTACGAGGGCCCCCCAACGGAACTGGGCGGGCCACCGGCTGAGCTACAATGGCCACATGTAGAGTCCCCAGAGCCACCCGCATAGCTACGAGAGCCACTACCTGAGCTTTAAGTTCGCTGCAAGGGCCGCAAGCGGAGCTACGAGTCAGAGCTAGTAGGGCAGCAGGGCCACGTGCTGTTCTACGTGGGCCTGCAGCAGAGCTACGAGGGGCACTAGCTGAGCTGCGACCCCCACGCGCTGAATTACGTGAACCACGCGCAAGGCTACGGGAATCACGCGCCGAGCTACTAGGGCCAACAACTGTACTACGAGGACCACGAGATGGACACCAAGGCCCACGGAAAGCCTGGACAACCGAAAAGCCGATCGCTATCGGAGACACGATGAAGGTCAGTTCGGTAGGAGTAGTTCGAGTGCACGGTGTTGGAACTGAGCGTCCAGACACTGACAGTCCGCTGCACCGACGGCTGGGAGGATAACGTCCCCAGCTACTTCACCCACAGGACGCCACAAGGAGAGCGACGAGGGCCACAAACTGAGTTACGAGAGCTACAATGCAGGCTACGAGGCCCACCAGCTCAGCTACCAGGGCGACCAGCTTACCTACGAGGGTCACGACCTGGACCACTCGTGCCACCAGCTGAGCCACAAGGGTAACTACCAGAGCTGCGTGAGCTACGAGGACCACCAGCTGATGTGCAATGGCCACCTGCCTGGCTGGGAGAAACACCGCCTGGCTGGGAGGGTCACCTGCGGAGCTACGAGGCCACCACCATAACTACGAGACCCATGCGGCAAGAGCACCTTAGCGGGCCGTGACTGGGGCCTGATCTCTACCTGCTATCCCTTTCTCCATGATGGGCCTCAGGATGTACGATGTACAAGCGTGCTCCCCCCACCCCCCGGCAACGGAAGGTGGGTCCCGCTCCCGTGAAGCCCGCCCGCGGCTCGCAGGATGAGGAAGGAAAGGGAGGGAGGGAGGGATGGCAAAAAGAGGAGGAGAAGGAAGAGGAGGAGGAGGAGGAGGAAGAAGATTGCCGGTGAGGCCTTGGCGAGGTCTGATGGGGGGATTGGATGAGATGTGGGAGATGGGGTTGGTCATGGCCGTGAGGGCGACACAATATCTTCGTCGAGGGCACCTTTCCCCTGGATAGTTCTTACACCCCAGGGGGTCCTTGCATTACCTGGCCGTTCAGCATATTCAGGGTGCTCGCCCCTCTACTTTCTCACTGCTGCTGGGTTAGGGCAGCCTCTTTGTCCTGTCTCCTACGTCGGGGAAGAGGGGAAGCAAGGAGAGTTAAGCAGGCGAGTTTTGTCTTACAGATGTTACAATCCCGAGTGTGGTCGTCCACCCAACGTAATAGGAGGAGGGGGAGGAGGAGGAGGAGGAGGAGGAGGAGGAGGGGGAGGAGGAGGATGGGGAGGAGGAGGGGGAGGAGAGAATGAAGAAGAGGAGAAACAGAGACGAGGGAGGGATGCTGAGGTCGACTGGGGAGGGAGGAAGCGTCACGCTCCGCAGCGCCGTCCGGGGCCCCATCCACTGCTGGAGGGGCCCCGCACGTGTGGAACTTACAGCTCACAATCAGTTGCGGCAGTGCTCGGATCCCGCCCTGCCCAGCGGACGCACGGTCAGTTTCTTCGTTCCGTTCGATCCGTACTACAGCCAGCACGGATGGAACCCGATTGCCCCTGATACGGCAGGGGCTGCAGATTTGAGATGATCTCGATGCAGTTCCAGGCCCGTCTCTCTTGCATGTTTCGTCAGTGGAGCTTCGGCGTCAGTCGGTGTCGGAAGAAGAAGGAGGAGGCAGAGGGGGCGGGCCTTCTCAGAAGGCTCAGAAAGCACCCATGGTGGGGGTGAGGCCGAGGAGGAGACTGAGAAAGGGGGGGAGGACCGAGGATCGAAGGATCGAAGATAGCATAAAGGATGAGGGTCGCAGATCGGGGATCGAGGAAAAGGTGGATGGACAGGATGGGGCGGATCGAAGAAGAGGAGGGCGACCGAGGACCCGAGGATGAGGGGGCGGGTCTTCGCTAGAAGGCTCAGAGGGCCTCCGACCGTCTGGGAAGCTCCCTGACCCAGACACACAAAGTCCTGCAACAAAAACCGGAGGTGATTCTCGATTTCCGGCCTCTGGGGGCCCTTGCCGGGCCCCGGGGCCCTCGAACACAGGATCGGCATGGAATCCTTGCCCTGGAGAACGGGTCGGGGCTCCTGGTGCCCGCGTGTTGAAAAAAAAAATCAACGCGTATCCAGGAATCTCCGAAGCCCACCCGCATTCCGAGAAGGCCTGCCCCCTCCTCCTCCTCCTCCTCCTCCTCCTCCTTATCATCCTTCGCCGCCTCCTCCTCCTCCTCCTCCTCCTCCTCCTCCTCCTCCTCCTCCTCCTCCTCCTCCTCTTCCTCCTCATCCTCCTCCTTCCCCCTTCCCTCCCTCCCTCCCTTCCTCCTCCTTCCTCCTTTCTCGTCCCTCCTTCCCTCCCTCCTCCCTCAAGAGGAGGGACGAAGGAGGGAGGCAAAAGGAGGAGGGAGGCAAAAGAAGGAACGGAAGAGAGAGGCACGGAGGGAGCGAGAAGGGAGGGAGGAGGGAGGAGGGGGGGAGGAACTGGGGAGGGACGGAGGGAGGGGGCAGGGAGGAGGGAGTGAGGGAGGGGGGAGGGAGAAGGAGGAGGAGGAGAAACTTCCTCCTTTCTCTCCCTCCCTCCCCCCCTCCCCCCCTCCCCCCCCCTCGGCGCGCCGGTGGTCCTCGGCCCCCCGCCGCCGGGCGTCCGCCGGCTCGGGGGAGCCGCCTCTCCGCCGGTCCTGCTGCGGGGGAGGGCGGGTGCGGCCGAGGGCGGCGCCGAGGCGTGCCGCGGGCTCGGGGGGCGCGGGAGGCCTGGGCCCAGGTGGCGCCGTGGCGCGCACGTGAGGAGGAGGAGGAGGAGGAGGAGGAGGAGGAGGAGGAGGAGGAGGAGGAGGAGGGGGACGAGGACGAGCGGGATGAGGAGGAGGAGGAGGAGGAGGAGGAGGAGAAGGTGGAACATGAGCAAAAGCAAGAGAAGGAGGAAGAGGAGGAGGAGGAGGAGGATGAGGACGAACGGGATGAGGAGGAGGAGCGGGATGAAGAGGAGGAGGGGGATGAGAAGGAAGAGGAGGAGGAAGAGGAGGAGGGGGACGAGGAAGAGGAGGCGAGGGACTATTTTCCCACGAGGGCCCATGGGCAGAACATCGACGACCTCGGCCTCAAGCCGATCCTGCTGCGCGAGCGGCCTCCTCGCGATGCCGAATCCTCTCCGCCAGCGCCGACACTGCAGGTGTCGAAATAAGGCGCGAGCGGGAGGACGCCGAGGAGGCTGGACCAGATACCGCTGCTCCGAACAGCACAGACCTGGCCGAGGAACGACGTGTGGTGCCAGCAGAACCCGCAGCAACTGTATATTCATACCTGTAGTGAGGGCCAAGACAACGTCGAATTCGACTCAGCGCGCCTCGCCCGCTAGGGCCAGGCTCGCCATCACGACCACCAGCCAACTTAAAGCATCGTTTGCTGGTGAACACGCCGCAGTGGAAACAGAACAGCAGAGGAGCACACCCCACATCCTGCGCAAAGGTCGTATACAGGAGGTGGCCTCGCTCGCTCTCGGCACCTTGCACTCGACGGAGGGCAGCGGGCAGACTTTTACAACCAGTCATGGGTCTGCTATCGCCAAACGTCGTTTTAAAACATTTGGTGCACCTAGCGGCGCACGGGGTTTACTCGCCCCCTAGGTCCAGGATAACCCACTCGTGCCATTCTACGGCTCGCGGGGTTCGCGATTAAACCCCAGGGGCCGCGAGATACCGACGGGGCTCGAGTTTCGGAAAAACACGGCAGGACCGAACCGAACATGACCACTAGCTTCTTTAAGAGGGCCACATCTCGATCGAATTGCTCGAGCTCGTCGGCCGGCAGAGACGGATGCAGCGACAGCGCTTGCTTCGCAAGACGGCCCGCATCCTGGCTTCCGAGAGCAATCTTCCGCACCCGAGCAGGAAACGCGGCCATCACCTCCTCGGACCTGTGGGCAGGTGCGTGAGAAATCGAAGCAATGCAGTAATGGCCTTGTTCCTGGAGGGCCCATCTCCGCAGGCCAGCGAACGCGTGGCCTGGGCCCAGCTGGGCAGACGCCCGAGAGGTGGCGAGCGACACAGCGCCCAAACAATCAAAATGGGCCTCGCAGACTACGCGGGCGAGCGCGGCTTCTCCAAGGTGCCCCCCCAGCTGGAGGCGCCTGGGGGAGATCTGGCCGCGCCGTTCCCAAAAGTCGAAAGCGAACCTCGCGCGGGGTCTCGCTCGACCGATCGGAGAAGACCGCAGCGCAGATAGCCCGATTGAGCTCTCGGAGCGCAAGCTGGCCTGCCGAACCGTCGACGACAATCCGTGCACCGACGGCTCGGGTACAGAACTTCTCGATAGATAGTGGCTCCCTAGACGGCCCTTTGAGCAGCGGGCCGAGGTCGAGGCAGGGGCGGGGCGCCTCAGGCTGAGCCACAATCATCAGGCGAAACCAAAACAGAAGTTTCCATGAGCACAGTTTCAAGCAGCAGGGGTCTCCTCGTCTGAGAGATGCTCGCAGCGCGCTTCGTCGACGGTCGGGTCGGCGCAAATAAAACGGTGGACTATGGAATCGGGTTCCCCATGCAGCGGACAGGCCCCGTCGGAATCGCACCCCGGTGCATTCGACCGATCCGCAGTCCAGTAGGCCCCCGAGAAACACGCAGAGAGCCAAAATTTCTGCCGACCGCCGAGCTTCCTGGAGCGAAGTAAACGCGCAGGGGGGCCAGTTGGCACGCGAGCGGCACGGAGGTCAGGGAGAGCGCTGGCCATCCTACGCTCATGCATCCGCTGGGCGCCTTCACCCAGAAGCTCATTGAGCATGGCAGGGGGCGCGCGCAGCAGGTCGATAAACATATCCTCCTTCGCCGCGCCAAACTGAGAAATCCACCGCCTTCCACTCATTCCTGCTCAGACGCAGTATCAGCCTGTGAACAGGGCCCCGAGATTGACCCCAACCCGCGGGCTCCAGATCGAGCTCCTGGCCCTGAGCCGTGCCCCGCCGAATCTGAATGTGATGCTTAAAACAGAAGGGGGGCGCGTCAGGCATGGTCGCCGATCGCCGCGTGCTCGCAGCCCACTGGCGGGCCGGGGCCACGGACTGCTTCCAGGCAGGACCGCCGTGCAAAACAAGTTTGGCCGTCAGAGACGCGCCTCGAAACGCTGGGCCGCAGCCGGCGAGAGGGGCGCTCCGAAGGGGCCGAAGCTCAGCGCCAGTCATTCCCAAAACCATGACACCATAAACAGCAGCTGGGCGAACGCCCGCAATTTAAATCTTCTGCACTCTGGACTTGTCCCGAGGATGCTTTCGACGATAATGTGAAATCAGCCGATGCCTTTTACTCATCATCTTGAATATATCCTTCCTCTTGGCCCCCCCTCCTCTGCATGGCCGACGCGGACCTGGAGTCGGGCCCGCGCCGTGCGAAACGGCCGCGCTGGTCGCGGCCGACGGACATGCTGCGGGCGAGCGACGGCGAAGACGGCCGGCGAGGCGCTGCGAGGAGGCGAAGGTGACAGCTCTGTCCTCGGCCAGGCGAACATTCAGCCCTTTCGGGGAGGACGCCCTCCAGGTCCACCCCTGCACGCGCCAAGTTAGCTACAATCGCATCCTCGTCGCCATGCGCGGCTGCCGTGTGGTCGTCAACGCAGCAGCCGAGGGGGGGCCACAGGGTGCCTCTGGGGCCGCGCATCGAACTCGAACATGGCATAAACCTTAACGGAAACATCATTGACAATGTCTCCAGCTGGGGCCCATGTTCAGCAAAAAGAACAAGGGGATAATGATTGGCCCCGAGCCTGAGGATCCTGGGTGGCCTCCAGAGGTTATATAACGCCTCTACGAACACCATGGGAATCTTCCAACAGATTGTCCTGTCACGGAGCCAGACCTGGATGAAGGACTCGGAATTCTTCGTGCAGTCCTTGATGAAACCTGCGGTGGACTTACCACTCGACGGAGCCTGTTCCGAGAGCGCGCATTGGTTCCAGATGGGCGCCTCTGAGTTCTGACCACGCCCAAAAGACCAGTCGGGCCTGTGGGCCCTCTCCAGAAAGTCGCCACACTGGCGCCGACGGAGCCGTTCCCGAACTCGCACGGGAGACCCGAGGAGCAGGAAAGGCCGAATACCACCTTTAGGCTTCTCCACGAGCGGCATCAACATCCACCGCAGTCGGGCAGGAAAGATACCTGAGCGCACGAGTGCCTCATGGAGCATCGCCAGGCTCTCCAGCCCTTGGTCGATGAGGCAGGCGAAGTGCCCGGGGTGGTAGCCGCCCAGCGACTGGGACGTGCGATGGCTGAAAGATCGCGAAACCGCCCGAATCTGACGGGCTCGCTCGCAGGAAACACTCACGATTGGGTATCCAAGACGACGTCGGCGCAAGTTCGTTGCCGAACAGCCTCCCCCCCCCCCCCCCCCTCACGCGCGCACGCATACACGCGCGCGCGCACGCGGGCGCGCGCGCGCGCGCCCCGAGGAGCCGCAACGATTCCGAATTGGTAAACAATTCCAACGCGTGGGTTTCCAAATGCTGGACCGCGGGGAAGCATTGTGGAACGCCCGCGCGTCGTCGAAAAGCCGCGCGCCGCCTGCCCCCGCCATGGAATCGCGCCGCGCGCGCCGCGGAGGCGCGACCCACGCGGCCCCCGAGCCAGGTCCCCACGTGGCCGCCATGGAGCCCATCGCCGCGATGATGTTTCGTTCCGCGGTCGTTGGGCATAGCGCCCGAGCGAACCTCGAAGCGCGCAGCCGTCGAACCGCAGACGGAATCGGCGCGCGCGGCCGGCGAAGCGCCGCGCGCTGCCCCGGCCGCGCGGCCGCTCGTTTGCGCGGGAGAGACACCTCCCAAGCTGATTCACGGTGGAACGCGCCAGCGCGGGACCGATGGACCACGAGGAAGGGCCTCTTCGGGGGCCCTACATGAAGAAGAAGCGCGCGAGCGTGAGCGCTGCATGGGGAATTGGCGGGGCGCGGGGGGCCGTTGGATCTCGCGCCCGCGCAAGTCGAGCAAACTTCGCCCCCGGGGAGCGGGCGCTCGCGGGGCCCGCCGCGGGGGCGGGGGCTGCTGGCACAGACTCTGCCGCAACCGCGGCGAGGGCCTGCTGCGCCCCCTCGGGGGCCATGGCGCGCGGCTGCGCTCGTGGCGGAGAAGAACGACCTGGCGGCAAATGCCGGCGACGAAGCTACAGCGACCGCGGGCGCGGCGGCGCAATCGCGAGCCCCAAGGCAGCGCGGCCCGCCGCGAGGGCATCCTCTCCAGTTGAGCGGGCGCCCGAGGGCGGGCCCAGGCCGCCTCCCCAACGCCCCCGCCGCCTTTCCGCAACGCCCTCCTTCCCGCCCCCGTTCGGCTACGATGCGGGGCGCGTTTCCGGCCCTGGTCTCGCCCGCTTTCGCTGGCCCCCCCTTCTGCGGGCGCGCGCCATTCTTACCGCGATTATTTGCACAAGTGAATGAATAATAACAAATCGTGCTCAAAATCGCGGGTGGTTTCGTGGGGCCTCGCATGGGGGCGCGGAATCGTGGCCGAAAATCGCGGGCAAAATCGCGTCCGAAAACGCTGGCAAAATCGCGTTCGGAAGTCGCGGGCGAAATCGCGGGCGCGGGATCGCGGGCCAGCCTGGCGCGCCGGCGCGCCAAGAAGGCGCGCCCGCGCAACGTTAGCGACGGCAAGGAAAAAAAAAAAGAGGGGGCGGCAGCAGCAGCAGGAAGGCCAGCAGCAGCAGCGGGAAGAACAGAAGAAGAGGAAGCAGCAGCAGAAGAGGAGGACAGAAGGAGTCGTCGAAATTGGCCCGCCAGCTCGTCGCGCGCCTCACAGCGCACTGGACGTGATTCCCGGGGGGAACTCGCCGGCCCAATGGGCCAGAGGCGCGCGAAGATCTCCGGCCACTGCCTCGCGACATGTCTACTTCGCCCGCGCGGGGCGGCCCCTATGGGCACCCGGGCGCAGAGTGCCCCGGCCAGGTCGGGCCAGAGATGGTTCCCCTCCCGGGCGCGGCCTTCAGGCGTCCCAAAGCGATCCAAAAGGGCCCCTAGAGGCGCCCAAGACGGTCCAAGAGGGCCCCGAATCGTCGATCGGTCCGCGACACCCGCAACGGCTTCCAGACGGCCCGCGACGCGTACAAGACCCCCGAAGAGGCCACCGCGAGCTGAAACGATACGCGAAAACGAGGTGTTGATTTTTTATATAAAAATGTAGCAGAGAGACGAGGCGGAAACAAACTGGGGGCGACACCGCTCAAATGACGCGCGGAGCCGAGATTGCGCGCGAGCCGCGCGCCGAATGCCCAACGTCGGAACGGGTCGGCGACCCGGCATCTTCTGAACAAGGAAAAAGCGAAAATCTCAGAGGCAAAACAAAACTTCTGCATCGAAAAGAAAACCTAAGTCGTTGCACCGATCCGCTTTGGGGGCGCAGCTTCTTGAAGTTTGGCGCGCCGAGCTTCCCCTAATTTCTGGGTCTCAGAAGCGAGGGCGCTCTGGGGGTCCTGCGTGGAGGTTCCCGGGGAGCGCGCGACGATCGCGGGCTGCCATGTCTTCTGGACCTTGGTGAACCTATGCGCGAGCCTCGCGGAGCCTGCTAACGATTTAGCCTGCCAACAAACCCAGGAATACTTGGGCGCCCTGTCGCCATCGGTGATGCCCCCCTCGTAGTCGGCCTGGGTGCCTGCGAAAAACTGCGAAGCTCGATCGCGCCACGCCTGCGCCAAAGGTTGGTCTTCGCGCCAGGCTAACACTAACTCGCGCACGGCGCGCAAGGCGGCGTCCAGCCGTTGGCGCAAACCTTGGCCAGGGGCAGGAATTGCCGCGCAACTGCTTGGAGCTGCCGGCAAACATGCAGGGCGAAATCAACGGCGACGACCGAGTTAAACTTCTCAGTGAACGCTTGAAAAAGCCACTTCCAGCAGCGATGATTTGAATATTATCACTTGGATTCCTCGGGCGATAGAAAACTGAAGCCCAAGAAGCTTTTCCTCAATTCCCCATAGCTCCTTCGCCTCCGCGCCTGGCACTCGGCGATGCTCCACTTCTGCGCAGTCGACGAGATGGCCCCGTGCATTAGAGAGCACCGCCCGTGCAGCAGTGGCGGAATCAAGCAGACTGAAAGCGATGCCCTGGGCAGCGCGCGCCAAAGCGCCTCCCCGTTGTACCCGCGACGGTGCGGGCCCAAAAGGCGGGTCAACCGGAATACGCTGGTGGGTACGACGCACAAGCTTCTCAAGCCGAACCGAATCCCCTCGTACCCGGAGGCAAACGGATCGATATGGTTTACCGCCAAAGACCATCCAGCCGATACCTTAGCCGTGAGGCGAGCCATCCCTGGGCCTGCGACGAAATAGTCGATGACGCTGTTCGACGATGGGGCGCGGCAGGCGTGGGCCGTCGGGGCCACGAAAATCACGCCGAGCTTCCGTGGGAACCCAGAACTCTCGCGGACCTCAGGGCGGCCGGGAGTCCAATCGCCTCCCAAGAGAGTGCGGGTCGGATCCGTGATCGACTGGCCGATGGACTTCAACATTCCCAAATTTGCCTCACCGAGGCCATCCGCAGACTCGGGATAAACCGGAAAGAATGACAGGACAGGCCGAAAAAAAGGAAGTCTATCAAAATTTTGATGACGCGTTGGCCTGGGTCTCCTTGACAGCCTTCCCCTGGACGACCATGTCCTCCTGCATCTTGGACGGCCTCTGCTGCGCACGTGCAAGCCCGCGGCCAGTTGCAGTGTGCCTGGTGACGGCGGGCTTGCGCTCAGTGATCGACTTGCGCAGCGCCGTGATCTCAGCCTCCATTTGCGTCTGCGTCGCAGAGTCGCCCATGGCAGAGCACTTCTTGATGACGCCGAGGGCCTCCTCCAAAGCGTCAGCCTTGGCACGGAAAGCGACCAACTCAGCATCGCCGCCAAGGGCTGAATCCCCGCCCGCACCATCAGCATCGGGCGGCTTGGGGCGCTCACCGCCTGCTCGGGCGTTGCCACCGCCATGCTGATAGGACAACAGCTGCTCGATTTTGTTGGTGAGGGCTGCGAGCTGCTGCTCCATCTTGGACTGCCCAGAACGGGGACCGCGCGCCCAAACGACACGAGGATGACCACCGCTTCTTGGCATTGGGCGCGTTCGCCTTGACGCGCGCAGACGCAGCGGACGCGCGACGCCCAGTTCTGATTGCGCCCGCAGTCCGGGCACCCCCATGCCGGGTGGCGCGGACCTGCGAGCACCGCTTCGCCCCCATCGCGTCCTGCAGGAACTCGCTGAGAAAACGAAGGTTGAGACCCCTCAAACTGAAATTTACCAAGCCAACAGCCCTCGGGAGCGACAGCCGCTCTGAAGACTGCTCCCGCAAGCCTAATCACTCACTGGGCCAGAACGTATTGAGCCAAAATGGATTTGGAGGACGCAAAGGATGGTGATGATGATGATGATGATGATGATGATGATGACGACGATGAGGGGGAAAAGGACGGGCAAGAGGAGGAGGAGGACCAGTGCAAACCCAAAACTCATCAACAAACTTGGAATACACCATCCCGCAAAGCTCCTTCGTCCTACGACCCTGTAGTGGGTTCATTTCCACTGAGGAAGCGTCCCAGTTGAAAACAACTATGCGAAAATCCTGAGACGCGTCGAAACACCCTTCCCATGACGTCGACGCTACAAGTCAACCTGACTGCTGCGACCTGACGATCATGAACCTTGCCAGGACACCATGCCTGGGATTCAACGACCGAGAATCAACGTAACTGTTGTGCCCTGACAGCCCTGAATGGTTCCAACAAAGTTATTCTGAAATGTTAACCATAAGCGGTAAACACATGTTGAAAAAGGAACCGCCCTCAATCCGCAAACCCCTGGGCAGTTGTTGAAGCGAACGTGCGCGGCGCTGGGGCGAGAACCGAATGTTGAAAACGCGCAGCCCTGAACCCGCAAAACTCTTGCAAGCGTTTTGAACGAATGCGCGCGACACACATGTGCGAAGCTCTTGCAGCATTTCAAATGAATGCTCGCGGCGCTACGGCGAGAGTGGTATGTCGCGAACGACCCACCCTCCATGTGCGAAAATACTGCCAGCTTCCAAGCTTCAGGCCCATGGGAGGCACGGGGGTCACAAGCGGAACGTCCAGCCTGCACTTCCGACTGGCCGCGGGATAAGACAGGGATGAGTTATGTGTAAGGCAGAGCAATCGAGACTGAGGGAGACAAGGAGGAGGGAGATGAGAAGAAAGGACACGAGGAGGAGGAGAAGGCGGAGGAGGAACGGGAGGACAAAAAGGAGAAATGAAAGGAGGAGGAGGACGCTGAGGAGGAGGAGGAGGAGGAAAAGGTGGAATGTGAGGCCGACGAGGAAAAAAAAGAGGAATGGGAAGAGGAAAAAGAGGAATGGGAGGAGGAGAAAGAAAAGGAGGAGGAGGAAGATGAGGAAGAGGAGGAGGAAAAGGAGGAGGAGGCTGAGGAGGAGGAAACAGGAGGAATGGGAGGCGGAGGAGGAAGAGAAGTAGAAGGAGGAAAGAAGGAGGACAAGGAGGAATGGGAGAAGGAGGAGGAGGAGGGGGACGAGGAGGAGGATGAGGAGCGCGCGTCACTGCGATGTTGAACTTGTCGAGGCCGGAGCCGTTGAAGCGTCAGGAGCCACACGCGCGGGCGGGCAGCGCGGCGCGAGACCGTCGGCACGGTCTACACAGCTGGGGAACACGTTCTAACAAACTCAACACGACGAATCGTGAATGATTTGCAGACGGTAACGCCCAAAGAGGACCATCAAGTGATATTCGCCACTCAATGTTGGCAGCGTGCGCAGGCGTGCACCATGGGCCAGGTCATTGAGATGCCGCACTTTGGCTTGTGGGCCCAGTGGCAACATTGGGAGGCGGATGCCACTTAATGCCCGGGTGCTCTTCCGAGTTGATCCTTCACAGGGCCGCTGGCGTGGGTGGTTCCACGTTCTGTCTTGCGGTTTCGTTCCCACCGGTCGGATGGCTAACGTGCAGCGCGCAATGCATAAGACACGTTTTTCGGGCGACGGGCCCCGCCTGGTCTGATTCAACATCTGTTCGGCTTCCATACCTGTGCCACTTTTGTTTGAAACTTTGTTCACGGGGACGTAGAGCCGTCCGCGGGACCGGCAGTGCGGACAACTAGACCACGCCGATATCGACGTAGTAGGGTTGGACGAGGGCGGCGCGGGCGGGCAGCGCACAACGCACGGCGTCAGCCATCGTCTGCTGCGTGATCTCGCCGACCAGGGATGATGGCAGGATAACATCACAACGCTCGACAGTAAGGCGGGGGCCCCGCTCGATGCCGACAGATCTCTGCAAGTAAGACGGCGAGGTCTGCGCCAACCCAGCACAAGCACGATGCCACAAATCCCTCTGAAAGGAGCCTCCTTTCGAATTTGTCGGCGGCGTCGGGCCGAAGTGCGCCTGGAAATACACGGCTTGTAGCATGCTCTGCCAGCAATTGTGTGGAGTGGGGCTGCACCTCACGAACGTATGGCATTCCGCTACAATCTTGGCCTTGCTGTGCTGCCTGGTGGCGTTCTTGAAATTGGAGTACGCGTCGGTCAGAGCAAAAACGGAGATGGCGACTTCAGACTTCGGCTCGTGAGCCAACCCCGACGGCGACGCAGAGGTGCAAGGACGTAAAGAGGCCGCGCACGGTGCGCCAGACAACGTCGATGCAGCAGCACTGGTGGCCGCCCCCGGAAGCGATGCCGTAGGAGGGGATCGGCACGAGGCACGTCGTGTGGGCGGCCACGGAGAAACCCGAGGAGCGACGGAAGTGAACGATCGGCACAGTGCACTCGCCAGGCGCGGGCACCGCCGAGACAAAAACGTACAATGACGGTGTCCGACCAAATGCCCAGGACGAACGTCCGAAGCACGCGCAACGCCACCAGGGGCGTCCCTGGCAGCAGCAGAACCGCCGGCATCAGGGGCACGAGAAGCATGAGCGCAAACATGACATTGAACAGGCACATCTTGTTCAGAGCATTCATGAGGCTGGAGTACCAGCCGACGTAGACAAGACTCAGGGAGAGCCGCACGCACACCCTCAGGATAATACTCATCACCATCAGCTTGCACTGATACGCCACCTGCAGCGGCAGCGTGACAACCTTGAGGATCACACGCGTCACCTGCAGGAAGCACGGGGACGCCACCTGTGGCGGCGGGGCAAACTAGAGGATCACCTTCAGCGCCTGCTGGATGCCCTTCAGCAGGTAGGGCGCCAGCGTCGGCTGCACAACCGACGCAATGGGGAGAACAAGGAGCCAGAGCGAGACGGCCACCACCATCGCCCCCAGCGCGAGGAGAGCCACCGGCAGCACACGGAACTGAGGGAGCGACATCGCGCCTATGAGGGACACGAACACGGTGCAGACTCACCCTTGAACCTCGGTGAGCCCCGCCCGAAACTTGAAGAGCAAGATGGGCAACAGCAGGCGAATGCACCATCATGAGATTGTAAGGCACGATCATCGAGATCACAAGGATCCGCATCAGGCAGACGAGCGGAATGATGCGGAGCGCGGGCATCAGCAGGCGGTTCGCCGCACAGTGTTGCACGCACGTCACCTCGAGCAGCAGCAGCAACCTGCTCCTCGAACCCCCACAGCTCGAATGCATATTCGATGTCCCAGTCGAAAGAGGTGTCCACGAAAGATGAAGGCACACAGACTGAGACAGGCTCCTCCAACTGCTTCACGCCCACATCTCCGATGTCGCCCAAGGGGGCGGAAAACACGGAGCCAAGCGGCACCAAGACGATAATCCAACACATCGAGTATTGCAGTGCAGGAGATGGGGAGCACTGGAAGGCGCCATGGGAGCGATCAGCTCGTTCGGCCGTAACTCCACCACCACGGGCGGCATATCACCAGGGAGACGAGCAGCATCACCAGAAGCTTGGCGGAGACGCGGGGAAGGCACAAGAAGAAGTCGATCCAGCTTGAGAGTGTCTGCCGTACCTATGGGTGCTCACCAGCGAGGGCCTCGAAACAGAAGACGCCACCATAGGGAGACGATTGTTCGCCCGCCCACTCTGTGAATCAACCTGGAGAAGAAACAGGATGAAGGCTGTCTGCAGCATGTAGAATAGCTTGCCGACGGGAGTGCGACCGGAATCCATTGACACCTTGCAGAGAGGCTTACCGAGACATTCCACGACAAATATCTTGCATATTTGGTTGAAGGCAGGCGGGTACCAAGAAGCAAAGGAATCTCGTTCGAGAGCCTCGTGGAATCTTGTTTGAAGGCAGGCAGGCACCTGCTGAATGGATCCTCGTTCGAGAGCTCGGCTGCGTCTCTCGCGTGCCGCCTTGCTTGATCGTGCATGCAGCGTGCACCCAGAACCACCAGCAGCGTTCGCCACCATCGACCTGCGAAGAGCGCGAGGAGTGCGGTCCACGGGCCTGGCATGCGGCTCAAGCCAGAACCGCTACGGAGAAGGACGAGGAGGAGGAGGTGGAGGAGGAGGAGGAGGCGCGTGATCCCGAGCGCTGCAGACGGGACCTGGGCCCACTCGCGCCGTGGCGCAAATATCGCGAGGGGACGTTATTGGCGGTTCTTGCGGGCCTCGCGGGGGCTCGGCGTCTCGAATCCCCGACGGCTCGAGGTCTCACCCCCCCCCCCAGAACCTCGAGATCACCCTGATTCCCCCCCCCAGCCCAGCCCAGAATCTGCCCCCCATCCCCCCCTCCCTCTCGTCGAGGAGCCATCACGACGGAAAGTGTTTGGCCGTTCACGGCCCCTCGGGGCCGTCACCGCGCCCCCGGGCCATCAAGAAACTACCCGCGGGGCGGAACAAAAAGGTCCCCAGGACACGGGGTCCAGACCCGTGGGAGCCACGTCGCGAAGAACAGTCACGACGTGGCGGGTCTGGGACCCAGGCTCGGATGCACCGAAGGGGAGACCAGGAAGAGGGGGGGATAGCGCATCCTGGCCCGAGGCACGTGCGCGGACGAGGGTGGGCCAGGGGGGACGTCCTGAAGGAAGAAACAGGGCCACGGAATCTGGGAGACGACGTGCGTGCCCCTGGCCATGCCATGATATCCCCCCCGATTGTCCTCACCCCCTCTTGGACGCCCCCACCAGGCATCCAGCGGCTCGGGAGAATCTACGGTGGCCACAACGCAAAACACTCAGTACCTGCCTGTACGACGACCCTGTTAGCGTGGCGCTGTGATAGAGGTGCTGACTTTTTTGCTCAAAAGGCAGATGAGTACCAGGCGCAGGCTGAAAAACGACGCCCGTGCCACTGATACTCATTATCCCTCCCGAGCTGGGCCTCTGGAAGCTGCCTTCAGGCGCTGGGCCCGCCGAAAAAACAGCGCACGGTGACATACCATCCACGAAGGAGGGGGTCGAGAAGTCTGAGGGCCCAAACCGAGGCGCCGGATGCCTGGAGTCTGGGGCAGCATAATTCAGTACGCCAGCGCCGATCCTGGCCAGGCCCACTTCGAGGATCGAGGGTGGAGGATCCTTGCGCGTGCTTGGTCCCTACTCAGCCTCCGCTGTCCGCTGGGGCTCTCTGGAGCCCCGGAGGCCTTCAGAGGCCCTCAAGGGAGAACCTCTGAGACCCGACGTCGTGAAACATAATCAAACACAAGAAAATAATTACGACCGGAGACCGTAGACACCATCTTCCCGCTACCTTTCCCGAGCCAGATCCATCTGCGGTGGCCCCAGGGCTCGAAACGTGGCGCAGGCTCCCGGCGCGAACAAAAATAACGGCGCCATGGCTCGGGGTCCAGGGGAGGAAGATAGGAGGCCTGGACACGAGCACCAACACCAACACCAAGGGGGTTGCCTCAACCGGGGAAAGGTGATCCTGGATGGTGGTGTTGGTGGTAATCTTTCGGCCACCTAAGAAGCCCAAATATTACCACCATCGCCGAGATCGGAATCATCTTCCGTCGGTGGAGGCATATCGGCGATACTGGTGTTGGTGTCAACCTCCAGGTCTCCGACAGCAGGCCCAGGTCTCTGTGCACTGGCCCTCCTGGCAGCGGCATTGGCAGGGCGGGCACGTGCCCCGATCCGGAGCCCAGGACATGCTTCGGCCTCGGCAGCACCAGCCCTGTTGTGCAGTCCTATCATGCTGCCAGAAGGAGCGCTGACGCAGGAGCGAAGGGGCTCTTCTGATGGGCCCATTTCCCACGAGGAGGAGGAGGAGGAGGACCTCATCCTCTCTGTCCCTCTGTCCTACATGTGGTAGTGGTGGTGGAAAATGTGCCCATCATCTTCTGGCCGAGGCAAAACGGCCCGGACACCGGAGCCCGTCCTGAGCCCACAAAGCGGTTCAAATCTCAGCGCCCTGACTGTGGTTCGCGCCCCCCGGGTGTCCGCCCCAGGCGAGTAGCCCCTGCGCCGCTCCGACCGGGAGCGGCCCCCGCGCCGCTCCGACCGCGAGCGGCCCCTGCGCCGCTCCGACCGCGAGCGGCCCCTGCGCCGCTCCGATCGGGAGCGGCCCCTGCGCCTGTCCGCGCCTCGGGAGCGGCCGCTTCTGGCCCAGGGCTTGACCACCGTCCCCGTCGACTCCCTCGGGGGGCTGTAGCCTCGGAGGGGACGGCCGGCCACCAGGAAGCTGGAAACACACGCACGCCGCTGCGGAAGGCTGGCCACGACGAGCGCGTATCCAGCCTCCCGGCCTGCTGCCACGAAGAACTGGCCCGAGCGCCTCCTGGGCCGAGGACTGGCGCGCGGAGCCTCCTAGCCCAGGCCAGGGAGGCCCCACGCACCAGCCCCTGGACCCAGGAAGGGCCTGGCCTTTGCTGAAGCAAGCACTGACCGTCCTGGCATTCCTGTAGGCCTACCAGGAAGTGCCCAGAATTGTCGGATAACAACCGCACTGCTCTTAGAGCATAAAATCTTGGTATTCGCACGGCCATCTCAGGTCCTGGCAGCCGCCTATGCGCCTCGCCACTGCTTGAACATCGCTGGCGCAAGCAGTGCCCAAACATGCGATGCTCAGATTTGTTCAATACGTAGTCCCCCGAAGCCCTGGCCCTCTCCCCTGGATCAGTTTAGTCATCCAGCGTCGCTGTTTGACAGTCCCGCGACCGAGCAGGCCCTCAGAAGGCCGAGAGCGGCCGTCGTGAGTTCTGCTGCGACGCGAGCTCGTCTGGGGACGCCTCGCCACTGCCTAGCAACTGCTGGCGCCAGCGGTGCCGCCGTTGGCGGTGCGCAGGGGCGGCGGGGGGAAGGGGGAAAGGCTTCTTAGGCATAGGTTTCTTCTTAGAAGACGCGGCCTTGTCTGTAGATCTGTAGATGTAATGCCCGCGCATACGAAGGAAGCAGCCTCCTTCTGAGAAGCCTTCCCCCTCCCCCTACCCCTCTATGCGCGTGGCTGGTGATTTTCGAATCATATCTTGGGCCTCTGGCAGCCTTTCGGGACAATCCAGGCACCCCCAGAATGCTCTCGGCGAGGCGCAGCCGCTGGAGAGCATCCCGAGGCTAGACAGCCGCCGAGAACCGACGAGAAGGCCCGAAAACCTCGAGCCTCGAGCGCCAGGAAGTTCCCCCCTCCCCCAACCCACCCCCCCGTTGTGCGCGTGGCTGACTCTGGCAGCCCTCGGCCTGGGCGGCGGGGCAGCGACATCGGGTGGCCTGGCGGTGGGCAAGGCCCACAGCCGGCCGCCGGGAAGCCGTGCCAGGACGAGGCCCCCGGCATCCCGTGCATCTGGGGGGGGTAGCCCGCCTGTGAGGGAAACTCAAACCTCGGAGGCCTGGAAATTGACACCAACACCAAGACAGAGGGTTGCCTCCACAGGGGGAAGATGATCCTAGATTTTCGGTGTTGGTGGTAATAGTTCGGCCACCTTGGAAGCCAGAATATTACCATCATCACCGAGATCGGGATCGTCTTCCCCCGGTGGAGGCACACCGCCGAAATTGGTGTTGGTGTCAATCTCTAGGCCTGCGAAAACCCAGACGCACCGCGTCTCGAACAAAATCCAGCCCAAGGTTTTGCGCAGTTGTCGGCCACTCGGGGCCCTCACAAGGCCTCAGGACCGTCAGAACACGACCCGGGAGGAAAAAAACCGGTGCTAGGGACATGGTCGAGATGTCGGGGGCCCGTGCCTCGAAAATGTCGGCACGCTGGGTGTCTTCTGGAAACCGTGTGGTGACAGGCCGTGCGGTACCAGAAACCCTGAGAGGTTCTCCCGTCGCAAGTTTCTTCGCGCACGGGGAGATGCTGTTCTGCATGTGGGCCCCGGGGCCAACACAGATCCATCCAGCGCCCAAAATGCAGCAGAAAGGAGGGGTCTAGGGCTCCGCGCGTGATATTCGACGA